TGCCTCTTCTGGCATATCTGCTATTCTAATATAGTTACATTTCACATTGTCCCTCAGCTCCCTTAAGCAGTCCTTCTGGGGATTTTTTTGTTTTTGTTTTATTTATTTATTTTTTGTTTTGTTTTTTGGTTCTCTGATATATTTTTTTTCAACCCTGTCTTTTAATTCACTGGTTATGTCTTCAGCTCCCCCTAATCTACTGTGTATTTCTTCCAATGTGTTCTTTATTTGTGCTATCATGCTTTATTTGTTTCCATAGTTATTATATCTTTCTCATGCTATTGAGCATCTTTACCATAATTTTTCTGAACTGTATATTAGATAAATTTCTTATCTACAGTTTACTCTGTTATGGATGAACTGTACATCCCAAAGATATGTTGAAGTCCTAAAACCCCAGTAACTGCTAATGTGACCTAATTTTTCTTCTAGAGAATTCTCGAATTCTTTAATTTGTAGGTTGTTTTGTTGTCTCCTAATTTTGGCTTCCTATTTGGGTTTGTGACTGTGTATTAGGTAGATCTGCTACAACTCTCAATCTCTGGTGCAGGACAGTGTCAAATGCTGTTTCTGATTAATTAGATCAGGCAGAGACTTAAATGCTGTTTCTGATTAATTAGGTCAGGCAGATTACCCCTGCCTACAGACTCATGGGACTCTGTCTTGAATTACCCTCAGGTCATTGTCTTCAGCTGTAGCGAGAGTTGGTTTTTATGTGTGTGTTTTTCCAGCAGTGTGGGGCAATTGCTTCTGCCTGAAGTCTATTATTCTCATTCTCTTAATGGGTATCAAAAACTCCACACAGTGAGGCAAGATGTTTTCCAATAGGGTAGGTCAGCTATCTTCCCCCCAGGTAAGGCTGCCTGTGTAGCAAATATCTGCATGAGAAAGATGACCTTCACAGCTGAGGGAATGACTCAGCACAGCAAACCAGGATGACTGCTTTCCAAGCTCTAACCTGAGAGTTCCCTTTTCTGGCTTCTGCTCTCACAACTCCAGTCCACTCTGCTCTCCCTTGCTGGAACACAAGGTGAGTGACTGCACAGGGAATTTTGTGCATTGGCCCTTTAAGAGGGTGCCTCCATTTCCAGACATCTCTTCCAGGAAGACAGCAACTCTTGTGCTTTTCACAGCTAGATTTTATTTGGGCACCTTTCTCAGTTCTGGTACTTTCTTCTGGAAGGCCCAGGGTTCTCAGTGGAAACCCTTACAGCTGAGATATCCTTCAGAACTTCAGTTGCTGTCTGTGGGAGGCCAGCCAGCCTTTTCTTGCCTCTGCCCTTCCTACCAGTCTCTATGCAGTCACCACTTCCATCCTCAGTTATTAGGTTTCTCTCCAGCAAGTCTTCCATTGATTATTCACAAAGTTTTTCTGCATTTTTGTTGTAATTCCAGTTTGTTTCTGGGAACATGTTCACTAGACATCCACTTACTCCACTGCCATTTTTATTTCCCACAATATATTTTATTTATCTTATTGTCTGACTCTGTTATGGATGAACTGTGCATCCCAAAGATATGTTGAAGTCCTAAATCCCTGGTAACTGCTAATGTGACCTAATTTGAAATAGGGTATTTATAGATGTAACCAAATTAAGATAAAGTCAGCCCTAGCTGGTTTGGCTCAGTGGGTATAGTGTCAGCCTATGGACTGAAGGGTCCCAGGTTTGATTCCAGTTAAGTGCACATGCCCAGCTTATGAGCTAGATCCTTGACCCCCAGTTGGGGGGTGGGGAGCATTCAGGAGGCATCAAATTGATGATTCTCATCATTGATGTTTCTATCTCTCTCTTCCTCTATGAAATCAATAAAAAATAGTTAAGAAGAAATTATATTGGATTAGGCTGGGCCCTAATCCAATGACTGGTGTGTCCTTATAACATGAGGGAATTTTGGACATTGACTTACAAAGAAAAGGCCTTGTGAAGATGAAGGAAGAGATTTCAGTGATGCATCTATAACCCCAGGAATTTCAACAATTGTCAATAATCATCAGAACCCAGAAGAGAGGCCTGGAACAGATCCTCTCTCAGAACCTGCATAAGGACTAGTCCTGATTTTAGACTTGTGTCCTCCATATTTGGGAGAGAACAAACTTCCTAGTTTGTGGTAATTTGTTATGGCAGACCTAGGAATGAATACACTTCCCCCATTGGAACATCAGCTTTACAAGGGGCTGAAATTGTTTGGTTTGTTCACTGCTATAACTCTAGCCCCTAAAACAATGCTGGAATATAGCAGGTACTCAATAAATACTGGTTGAATGAATGAGTAAGCTTTGGATATAGAGTGTATCAAGTCCATCCCCCTGATCCCAGGCTCATCTCCATCCCCCATGGAGGCCCATGTTTGGATCTGGCCTGCTAAAAGACCTCCAAACCGTTGTTCATCTGACCAAATTTGATTAAGCACCTATTATGTGAAAATTCAGTTTTTCCTTCCTTAACCCAAGATATTTACAAATTGAAAACCCACTACTCATCAATTAGTTCCAATTTCCATTTTTCTTCCAGAATGGGGAGCAAGAGAGAGGCTCCAGGCTTCTAAATACACATGCCTCTTGATCTGGTAATGTGGGGGTAGGGAGAAAGAGGGGCTAGAAACCAGGAAGGCCGCAGCCTAAGAATATAAAGACAGAGAAGCTCAGACAATCTTTAGCACCTGTGTTTCCCTATCTTTTTATTTTATTTTTTATTTTTTAATATATTTTATTAATTTTTTATAGAGAGGAAGGGAGAGATACAGAGAGCTAGAAACATCGATGAGAAAGAAACATAGACCAGCTGCCTCCTGCACACCCTCCACTGGGAATGTGCCCGCAACCCAGGTACATGCCCTTGACCGGAATCGAACCCGGGACCCTTTAGTCCGCAGACCAACGTTCCACCACTGAGCCAAACCGGTTTCGGCTGTTTCCCTATCTTTTAAAAAGTCATTTGCTTTTTAAAAAAAAGATTTTTAGAGAAAGGGAGAGAGAGAGAAACATCAATGTGAGAAACATTGATTGGTTGCCTCCAGCATACATCTTGACTGGGATCAAATCCACAACCTAGGTATGTGCCCTGAACCTTTTAGTGTATAGGACAACAATCCAACCAACTTAGCCACACTGGCCAGGGCAAATCATTGGCTTTTTTAAAACTTCATTTTTAGATGGTTAACATGGTCACATCCTATAATAAAGATATAATATGCAAATTGACCCTCATGACCTCACAAGATGGCTGCCTATGACCAGGCTGGCAGAGGGGTTAGTGAGGAACAATCAAATGACTGAGCAAGCAGGCTGCATGGGGCGACCAGTCCTGAAGAGAGATTAGTAAGGGACAATCAGATGACTGAACAAGCAGGCTGCAAAGGGTTTAGTGAGGGACGACCAGATGACTGAACAGCAGGCTGCGTGGGGTGACCAGGCAGGCAGGGGGAAAGAAGGGGTGATCAGGTAAGCAGTGGGGACAGTAAGAGGTGACCAGGCCAGGCAGTAAGAGGTGACCAGGGGGGTGCAGTTGGGGGCAATCAGGCCAGCAATGGGGGGACAGTTAGGGACGACCAGGGGTGCAGGCAGGTGAGCAATTAGGAGCCAGTGGTTCAGGACTGTGAAAGGAATGTCCCCAAGGGGTCCTGATTGGAGAAGGTGCAGGCTGGGCTGAGGGGACCCTCTCATGCATGAATTTCATGCACTGGACCTTTAGTATGAATATATGTTGTTACACACACACACACACACACACACACACACACACACACACACACAGTGAAAGTTTCCATTTCCATCCTCTAACTCTCCTGCCTCTCCTCTATCACCAGAGGAGAGAACCACCCTGAGTATTTTTCGCCTGTTTCCTTTAAGTTTCTTCATACAAATAAAAGCAAACATGAGTATATGTTCTCAGTGAACCTATTTCATGCTAATGTTTTGTGTATACTGTTGGGTACCCTTAAAAATAAAATATACTTTGGAGACCATTCCATGCCAGTATATGGAGATTTGGTCTTTCTTTTCTTTTCTTTTCTTTTCTTTTCTTTTCTTTTCTTTTCTTTTCTTTTCTTTTCTTTTCTTTTCTTTTCTTTTCTTTTCTTTCCTTCCTTCCTTCCTTCCTTCCTTCCTTCCTTCCTTTCTTTCTTTCTTTCTTTCTTTCTTTCTTTCTCTTTTTTTAGCTGCATAGTTTTTCATTGCATGAATGTACTATAACTTATTTAACCACTCCCCTATTCATGGACATTTAGGTTGTTTTCTACCCTTTGCTATAAGTGTGCTATAGATTAGATTCCCAGAAGGAATCTGCCAGGTCAAAATGGGGGTGTTAACTTTGACCTTTTGAAGTTATGATAACACATATCACTAAGCATAGCAAGAAACACTTATGGAGACTCAGGTGAGTCACTCTACCCTGCACTTGACTTGAATGTCTCATGTAATCCAAGGTGTTGGGATTGTTACAACCATTTTTATTGCCCTCGGACATATCTAGTCAGGAGGGAGGAGCACCAGGGTCTATCTGCTGGTTAGTGTGCAGGAAGGTGGGTGACAACAATGCCTTTGGGTCACGTCCCTCCTCTACCATTTGTTAGCTCCCTGAACTACTCTGAGCAGATGTCTGCACCTCTTTGAAGCTCAGTTTCTGCCTTTGTGCAAAGGGGATATTGCACGTGTAAGTGAAGAACCAAAGGAGTGATCAAAGCACATGTAAATGGGCACATGAAGAGCAACATGTGGGAAAAAGGGCCAAGCTGGCCCACATGGCACCTTTGTGCCAATTGGAAAAGGAAGCCACATCACAGGTACTTTACTTCCCCTTGCAGAAAAGTATTAGAAGGAACATACAAACTTGGATGCAATCTACATAACTACAAGGGCAACCCTTTCTGAAAACAAAAATGGACAAAAGGAGTGGGTGGATGGGTGGGACTCCCAGTGGAGCACACAGAATCAGCCCTGTTTCCACTCTGCCCAACCCTTTCCCACCCAGCACAGGGACCAACACCCCAAGGTTCAATACTTGCATGCGAAGCCCCTGGATCGTGTTCTGGAAGCAGTACCCAGCTGACCCCACCACCTGTGGGTGGGATCAGGTGATGAGAGTGGGTCCCATGGGACCAGCCTTCCCCCTCATCCTGTCTCCCTTCTCTCCAGACTGGGACCGTACCTTGACCAGTATGGACGTCTTCAAGAAGTGATGGCCACTAATGCCCTGGTCAAAGCAAACCCTTTTATCACCGAGCATAACCTGGGGTTGAGGACGAAAACGAAGGGGTCAACAGGCATGCCCAAAGATCTAGGAACGGTTTAAGGAACCACGAGCTTCCATCAAGTCTACTGCCTGGGTAAATCCTCCTCACCACCTGTCCTCACCGAGAAATACACCGAGTTGCGGTTAATAAGGACCTTCTGCTTCACCACCGCCTCAATGCAGCTGGGGTCGGCCAGCACCACGCCCAGGTCCAGCTGGCTCAGCAGATGGAAGATGTTGCCTGCTCGGGGCACAGAAGGGGTTAAGGCCTAGAACCAGACCCGCCCCAGAATGGTGCCCAGGTCCCAGCCACCCCGCCCCCACCACTCCGACTCCACTCAGGCCCTGCCCACAGACCTGGCTCCAGCTCAGACTTGAACGAGGGGCCCCGGGCGGTCAGGAAGATAGAGAAGCTGTAGTTGGTGCCCTTATCCAGGAAGATGCGCTCCGGCAGCTGGTACTCGGCCTTGACGTCGTAGATCTTTTTGTAGTTGGCCATGTCAATATGCACGTTACCCGCGCTCTTCCTGTTGCTCGCCAGGTAGTCGTAGTAGTCCTGGAGCGTGGGGGGCGGGAAAGGCAGCACCCTGAGTGCGCAGTCTCACAGGGTGGGGCGGAGTGGGGGTTGGGGTAGCTCCACCGCAGACTCTCTCTACGCACCTGGTCCTGTTTCTTGTTCTTCCACCAACGCCAGGTGGAGTCGTGCACCGGGTCGGCATAAGGCTGCAGAGACCGCCAGCACCGTGAGGGAGCGTCCACAGGCAGACGACATTCCCACACCCGCCCCATCCTCTGTCCCAGCCCAAGCAAAGTATCACCACCTCGCCCGCCCTGCACCCACCCGGGGTTAGCGCCGGAAAGCTGTCCCCCAGAGCCCGGCTCCAGCCCGCCCCCGGCCCCGCTCAGCCTCCGACAGGCTGCTCCTCTCCGTCCCCCTCCGCGGCTTCTTCCCGCTCCGCAGACGCCGCCTTCAGGTCTACGCAGCTCCGTCTCCAAGCCCTGGCGGGGACAACCTGCCCAGGCGCCCACCTTGTCGTACTTGGAGTGCAGCCAGAGCAGGTAGTAGACGAGGCCCTGATAGATGGCGAGAGAGTTCTCGGTGTGGAAGCCCGAGGGCTCCAGCACCCGCGGCGGCTGCGCCCGGTAGCGCTCCCGGCGCGTGAAGATCTTCTGGTCGGGCAGGTCCCGCAGGCGCATCACGGTGAAGGGGCAGAGGTTGGTGAAGGAGAGCTTCGGCTTAGCGCTGCGCGGTGGTAGCGGGGGTGGCCGCTTACTTTTCTGTGCCCCGCGCCCCAAGAGCCTCCACAGGTCTGTTTGCCACCCCTGCACTGTAGACTCCCCAAATCCAATCCAGTCCTGCTCTTCCTCTCAGCCTCAGACCAGAGTCTTGGATCTCATCCTAGACTCTCCTCTTCCTAAGAGTCCTTCCACCTCCCCCTTTCTCCCTCCCTTCCCTCCATCCCCGGGCTCCTCGACAGGTGACCAGAGGGTTATTATTAAACTCAGTAAAATCGGACCAGGCAGTCCCTCCCCTCAATCCCAGCATAGCATTCCAGGGCCTCAAGATGAAGTTCCTCCCTATGACCACTGGCTCACCTTGTCCGCCCTGCCACCACCATGGCACTCTGTCTGTACTACACTTTCTCTCAGTTCTCAAAAACTCAATCTCCTTTCCTTCTCAGGGCCTTTGAACATAGGAACGATGGAACGATGTCCTCCATCTTATTATCTGGCCAATCCTGCCGCACAGCTCACAGCTCATGCACATCTTTCTCTTTGAAGCCCTCTCTGGTGCTCCCTCCCTCCTTGTCTGGGTTAAACCGCTTCTTTGAGCTTCCATTCACCCTGACCTCCCACATCAGAGCACTAAGGCTGTTAGGTGGGGATGGTTTGGTCTCCCTCCAACCCTCTGTGGAATGGGAGCTTTGTGTGGGGCTCTCTGACTGCATCCAGCATCTTCTCACCTTTGATGCTGCAAGGATGAGTGGCTATTGAGTTGCTGGTACATCAGAAGTTGCTCCACAGGCACAAGCCTCTTGATGAGTTGGCCCTGCTGGTTGTTTACAAGGTACACCAGCTGCAGCGGAAAGGAGCTAGTGTCAGCTGCCCTTCTACACACACACACACACACACACACACACACACACACACACACCTGTCTCTCCATAGCCCCTTACTGGCACCTGGTACAGATGGTTGTCTTCATAGAAGAGGGTGACCATGGTCTCGTTGGAAGCATAGAGAAAGGACTGCTGCATCACCTGGAGGCTGACGTGCACATCCCAGCCCATGGATGGGAACAACTTGTACACATGATAGCTGCCCTCCAGGAGGTACCAGATCTGGAGGTGCAACAGCTGTGTGTGTGAGGGCAATGAATGGGGACTCTGACCCCCCCCCTTACTCTACCAAGTGTGATGGCCCCATTCCTTGAGGGGTGAGGCTTGGGAGCTCACCTCCAGCTGGAATCAGGTGAGCTCACATCCCTTCTTTCTGTAGAGCCACCTCTCTACTTCCCAGAACCCACCATTTCTGCTTCCAGCTTCCACTTACCATGTTTTCTTTGGTGTTTCTTCTGTTATAGTTTTTATTACTTGCAACTTAAGTCTTCCTAATACATATACACTCTAATGGATGGGGTTCCTAGGGCTGAGCTTTCCTTTTTTCTTTTCACTCTCCAGGGTCTCAATTTCACTTTGGCCTTAATTTCCCATCTTTGCACTGATGCCCAGCCCCCTTGCCCCGAGTACATTTGACTCTAGACCTCACCTCCTCCTGAACCTCAGCTTCCAGGATGTCCCCCATCTCTGTGGCCTCTTCTGTGAGGCCATTCTTAACACACACACACACACACACGGGCCCCTTCTCTGAATATCCACAGGTGATTTCCCCTGCTGCAGCCTGACCATTCTCAACTGTCCCTGTCTGGGGACGACTCTATCTTACCCAACTGACCTGACACCCCATGAGGGCAAGGCCCAGGGCTGACTCGGTTGCCACTGTGCCCCAGCTCTGGGCCAGGCATCCAGTAAGTGCTGCATGTTTATGAAAGAAACACCTGCGTGATGAAATAAATGAGAGCACCCTCTGGAAATCAGATCACATGATTCAGCACAGGTCTCTCACTCGGCTGAGGAACTTTGGAAGACACTTAGCCTCTTTGAACTCCAGTGTTCTCAGCTGTAAATGGAGTTTCTGCTGCCCTTCCCCACCGCCCTGAGGGTGTTCCTTCTCCTTGACCCCTTTAAGCTGGCAGGGGGAAAAGGGAGACCTCTGGGCTTTGGGGTGGGAAGAGAGGAAGTGGGGAGAGAAGCAGGCAGCCCACCTCCTCGTTCTCTGTGACAATAGCTATTTCTCCATGGAATGAGTTGACCATGTACTTGATGGACAGCTCCTTGGGGAAGTCCGCCAGGTAAATGAAGTTTTCATTGTCATAACTGCAGGGGTAGAGATGGAAGCTAGGAGCACTCAGGCAAGGCACCTGGAAGATATGTTTTCCCCAGTCCAAGCTAAAAATAACAGAAGAGCTGTTTTCTCACTTCTCCACTAGTTTTAAGAGAACATGAAAAGGAAACCTGGGATTTCAGCTTCTGCCCCGGATTCCAAACTCTCTGGGGGACCTGTCCATCTGTGAACAGGAGGATTCGGTCAACCTGGCATGTTGCCAACCACCCATGGAGTTGACTCAAGAGCTTCTAGGTCCCTGAGGGGTGAAAAGTGCCCTAACCTTCCCCAGACAATGCTTTCTATTGCTCACATAGGTTGGGATCTCACATGAGGGCTCCCTTAGTTCCCCCCATTCTAGCCCTCACCACCCCAGTCTATGTTTTCCCCATTACAGTCCTCATAACGTCAGGACTTAGGCAAACTGAAAACTTGGTGACTGGAAAGGACCCCCACCTTGTGGGGCTGGGGAAGCAGAATATGCCCCTACCTCTGCAGGAGGAAGTTACCCCAGATGAACAGTATGTTGTTAAATGAGTTGTAGGACATGCCCTTGGGCACCATCGGGAAGTTAGTGTATGACTCTGTCCCGAGGATCATCAGGAACTCCAGGCCTCGAGCTGGCCAGGGCAGAGGCAGAGCAGTGAGGCGGAATCCCTCCTGGCTCCCACCCACCTTTGAGGCCCCCTCCACCTTCCCCTCCTACCTTCAGGAATGAATTCCGGGATGGTGTAGAGGATGGACAGGTAATCACTGACTACAGGTGAAGAGAATACAGCAAAATCTCCTGAGGCCTTGAGCTTTCAAAAACCTGAAACTAGGCAAGTCATCAGCTTCCCGATTCCTCCCCAAAACCCTACAATGGCTTCCCCTTCGGGCCTCTTGGCCTTTACTGTTTCTTCACATGAATTCTAAGAAGGCACTGCCTCTGAAAGACACATCCAGTCAGGACACAGGACTTGTCTCCTGTAGCTCCTTGACAGGGAGTGCAGTGCACAGCCTATTCAGCTGCACATGGCACCCTATTCTCAGTTCAGGTGAAATAAAACCAAACCTCCTTCCTGTGAGCCACAGGCCCTTCCTTATCTGGCTTCTGTTCATGACTTCATCTCCCTCCTTTCCCTTACCTGCTCTGTTCTAGTCACACTGACTTTCTCTCAGTTCCTCCAACCCACCAAGCCTGTTTGCCACCACCACTCCTTACCTAGGAGTGACACGAGCAACATTTCCCTCCCATTGTCTGCTGTGCACTCAAGCCCCCCACCCGTAGCACCCCAACTACCCAGGTTGTAGTGGACCATCTGGAAATACTTCTTGGCAGCAGTGTCTTCAACCTCAACAAGCAGCAGCAGATTGTAGTTACCCTCAGTGTACACGGCCCAGGTTATGGAGCAGTTGGCAACTGGAAGGGAAGGGGGAGGTCCAGAGCAGCCCCTCTCCATCAACTCCTCCCTCTCTGAGACTGCCACCCATCTCACCCCTGTAACTCTATCTCTTCCCACGACACTGCCAGCTGCCCATCCTTTTCCTTCCTTGTGACCTCTCCCATACTTCCCTGCTCTCCTAGATCCCCACACCCACCCACTGCAGACCCATTTGGGACATGGGTACCTTGTATCCTTTCGCACACTGACTGCTGCCTGGGCAGCCTCTGGAAGGTAACAAGGCCATCTGCGGAGCAGGACAGTTCCATGTTCAGGCCCTTCCCATTCACCCCAACAGGCATCCCACCACTGTTGAATGCCAGTGCTCTACCCACTTCCTCCAGTCTATGGATTTCAGGGGACAGGTCTCACCCCCTGACCTTCCAGTCACTCACACCTGACCTATCAGTATGTCTGTCTCTGGTCACAATAATTGGTTCAGGTCCATCCAGGTGACTAAGAATTGGCCAGTCAGAGCTAATGAGGAAGAGGCTTCTTCATTCTCCTGGGTGACCCAAGTTGGTGGGAGAAGATCCTCAAGCTACTGGGAGCCATCCTTAACCCCCACAAGAGGATCATCTACCTGAAGATGAAGCTAAATCACAGGGCTCATAATAGTAAACCCTTTCCCAGCACTCACCATGTCCCTAGCACTACTCTAAGACCTTTATGGATGCCAACATATTTAATCTCTATATCAACACAGTGAAGCAAGTACTAGTAGTAGTATTGGCCCATTTTTTTTGATTAAATGAGGCAAAAAAGAGAGGGAAATTCAGCTGTTTACACCACAGGTGACTGGAGTTGGCAGTGTCAGAGCAGTTTCTCTCTAGATCTGTGCCATGATCACTATGCTATACTATCTTGCCAAGAGACAGTGTCTTTTTTTTTTAAATTTAATAAATCTTTATTGTTCAGATTATTACAATTGTTCCTCTTTTTTCCCTAAGAGACAGTGTCTTGACAATATACCCTGTGAACCCCTGGATCCAGCCATGCCTGAAGTTGGCACTGTTTTTTCACTTATAAGTCCACAAATTATTTATGCCTAAATGATTTTTTAATTGAACTTATGCCCTTTGAAACCAAACAATACAAAATACATAATATACCCCAGGCACTATCCCTACAAATGCCTAAATCCCAGGGCCAACCTCCAGCCTGGGACTCCCTTTTGTTTGTTTGTCTGTCTGTCTGTTTGTTTTTGTTTATTCTCACCAGAGGATGTTTTCCCATTGATTTTTAGAGGGAGTGGAAGCGAGGGGAAGAGAGACAAAGAGAGAAACATCGATGTGAGAGACTCCCTTCCACACATGCCCATACTGGGGCCAGGGAGCGAGCCTGAAACCAAGGTGAATACCCTTGACCAGGAATCAAACCAGAGACCCCTCAGTCCTCGGCTGGCACTCTATCCACTGAGCCAAACTGGCCAGGCCATGGGACTCCTTCTGAAGATACATAGTGAAGGGTGAGAGCCCACAATCAGACTTCTTGGAGGTGAGAGGGAATGGAGGAATCTCTTGGCTGCCAGAGGCCCCTGCCCTTACCTGAAATAGTCCCGAAGTGGACATAACCTTCATGCTTCCCAATGGTGAGGGCCATGATGTACTCGGAGCCATTTCCATGAAAATGCACGGGGCACAGCTTCTTGATGCACTCGTTGGGCAGTACACGAACCCAGCTCCCTGCAATGGCCAGCATGGGGTTTCAGGCCTAGGCGTTTGGACCTGGGCCCCACATCCACATTTCCCTGGCCTTAATGAACCTGTTATCATCCTCTCCCCCTGGAACAGCTGCTTAGTGTGGTGACTGAGGGACCTTTAGCATAGGGTTCCAGCTGACTTTGAGAAAATCCTCCTGACTCACATTCTGTCCCTGAGGTTCCAATTGGGCTTGACCCCACCCTTGCATTCCCCTGGCCAGAGCCATTGGTTCTGAGCTGGGCTGTGACCAAGCAGGGCAAATCAGAGACAGTCTGAGTTTGCAACCACTAACAAGAGATGCTCTTTCCTGGGCCCCTGGGGGTATAAAAGTCTGCAGTTGCTGGGAGTCACCATGGCCTTCACAAGAGGGGCCTGTCTAAAAGCTACGGTGAGTCCTTGGATCCAACTATACCTGAAACCAATATGTTCCTGGTTTGTTTTGTATTTTTACTATCTAAGCTGAGAAAACACCCCTTTTTTTTCCAGCTTGAGCCCATTTTAATTTGGTTCTTCCCACTGGCCAAGTGTACTAAGTAAGAAAGGAAGAAAAATGAGCTGTTGAGAATATGCATTAACTAATGAAATATAGGCAACACCAAGTTTCTGTGATCCTATAAATCCAAGTGACCCTAAGTCTAAATGACATCTTTCATTTGAATTGGGGGGAAACCTAGAAGAACTAAGCAAGCTCCCATTTAAAACGGGGGTGGGGAATGTCCAGGCCTCGGGCGTCTGAAATCATTTGGTCTGGCCCTGCTAAAGTATTAGGGGTGAGCTAATTGAATGTTTGACCAAATATAGCAGGCTAATTAAAAAAAATATATTTTTATTGATTTCTGAGAGGAAGGGGGAGAAAGACATCAATAATGAGAATCATTAATTAGCTGCCTCCTGCACGCCTCCTACTGGAGATTGAGCCTGCAACTCACACATGTGCCCTTGACTGGAAATGAACCTGCAACCCTTCAGTCTGCAGGTTGATGCTGTATCCACTGAGCTAAACCAGCTAAGGCAGCAGGCTAATTTTGAAGTTGATAATTTTGTATGGCATACGAATGATGTTATAAATATCCAAATGGCCCCCTCTGGATTTAAAGGATGTGGCTGAGTCAAAGTCTTTCCTTTTTCTCTCTGATTAGTCTCCTTCATGACTTTGCCCGTCCCTGTTTCTCTCTCTCTCTCTGACCCCTATGCTTCTCCCCATCTCCACACCCAATTCCTCTCTTAGTATGCCTTTCTCAGTATGTCTTTACCTGTCTTTATGACACTGTGTGAGAGTCTCTCTCTTTCTCTCTCTCTCTCTCTCTCTCTCTCTTTCTCTCTCTCTCTCTCTCTCTTCCCTCCCCTCTCTCCCTCTCTCTCATCTCTGTTTCTCTCTCATCCCTCCCTTCACTCTCGACCTTCCCCAGCTGACTTTCACTTCCTGGGAAGGTCTGGATGAAGGCCCCACCCCAGCATAGAGAGAGTGGGAAAATGCCCTTCAGGATGGGCAGGGTGATTCAGGACCTTGGAGAGACCCTCCAACACTCCCTCCTCTCCCACTGGCAATCCCAGCGCCCCCTCACCCCACCCCCAGTGCCACAGTGGATGGGTTCATTAAGGCAGCCCCTTGGGTTCCAACAGGCAGTTCCCTTCTCCAAGATGCCACAGACCCCTAGGCACATGGCCCAGTCCCAATCCTCTCACCGCTGCCATGGTCACTCTCGTGGAGTATGGTATAGTTGCCCGTAAAATAGTAGACCAGCTGGTTCTGCCGAATGAAGAGGGTGCTCTCTGTGGCAATGGCATCGTAGATGGTGGCGGTGAAGTTACCTTGGGGGCAGTAGAAGGAGCCTACCCAGCAACTGTCAATGCTCAACTGCAGAGGAGTACAGCCAGTGGTGAGCAGGTGGCTTTTGCCTCCGCCCCACACCCTGCCTTGCGGGGGGGAAGGGGAGTCCTGCTCTGACAACTGCTCCAGATGAACACATGCAGCCTCCTGCTCATTCTGCAGCAGCACCTTAGTGGCCGAACTTCCTCAACATGGACAAGGGAAGGAGATGACCAGGCAGGCGCCTGGAGCTTTGTGTGTTCCCTCAATTTAAACAGTTTACAGTGTTCAATGGCCCCTGAGTGTTGTACCATGTAGACGGAAAAGATCCAATGCTTGGCCCAAGACACATACTTAGTAATTCTATTCTAACTTGAACACAATTGACTGTCAGGCTGACACTTTCTGAACTTACTGACTGATCACTAACACTGGCAGTATCACCAACAGTGGGAAAGCACCAGCAATGCAGGGTTCTTGCCTATAAGATTGAATCTAAATTTAATCAAGCTTTTAGATTGGCAATATGTTGTGTTAAGTAATTGTGTTCCCTTCCCCAATTTAAATGTTCAAGCCCTAACCTCTCATGTGACTGTACTGTATTTGAAGATCGGACCTTTAAGGAGATAATTAAGATACAATGAGGTCATAAGGTGAAGCCCTAATCCTATTAAACTGGTGTTCTTAGAAGAGAAAGGCACACCAGAGAACTCTCTCCATCATGCACACAGAGAAAAGATCAGGTGAGGATACTTTCTGCAAACCATGGAGAGAGGTCTCAGCAGAAACTAAATCTGCTGGCACCTTGATCTTGGACTTCTAGCCTCTAGTACTGTGAGAATATAAATTTCTGTTGTTTAAACCACCCAGTCTTATTATGGCAGCCTGATCCAACAAATACACAGGGTCAGAGGAACAAGTGAATTGATTGATTCTATGAAGAACCAAACAGCCAAATACTATAGAATAAAAGGCCTTGTTCCTCAAATTGCCTAAAAAGGAGGGGGCTGGTAGTGGACAGGGTTGGAGAGCAGACACATAGGTGAGAAGGGCTTTAAGAGACTTAACAATCAAATGCAGTGTATTGATCCTGATTTAAACGCAGAAACTTTAAAAGACATTTTTAGATAATTGGGGAAATTAGACTAAATTTCCCAGCTTCCCTTGCAGTTGTATAAGATAGGAAAGGGTCTCAAGATCTGGTTCTTGCTGCTCTTGCTAAATGTTAAGATGTAGCACAGTATTTTGCAGACTAGTTGTATACAGGATGAGCTGACAAGTACCTAACCAGATAAGTATAGCCAACTGCTAAGGAGAAATTAACATTTAATTGACTAAATCATGTATATAAGCAATGGCTAAAGCCTCCCTTTAGGGAGACAGAGCTTTGGATTTGTAACCTTTACTTGATGCAAGCAAATAAAACTACCTGGCTACAACCATGTCTTGTTCTTTAATAGAACGTGTCAAACAGCAAAGCCCTTGAGTTAAACAGTTGGCACAGCCAATTGACTAATTCCTCACTAATGGAATGTAAGTGGAAGTGAAATTTGCTTAAAAGAAAAATGCTTGCTCTTTGCTTCTGCTCTTTCCCTTTCCCATTGGCTGGATGGACAGGGGGAGGACCCATCTTCCATCATACATATGTGATCAGCAACTGGAGCCTAGGGGATGGTGAAGCAAGAAAAGAGAAGGAACTATTTAAGCTATTCCCTTTCTGTCAGGATCTGTTTGTTATACCATCTAAACCTGACCAACAGCACATTGATGAGAACAGCACAGAAGGGGAATTTTTATGGAATCCCAGGGGCAATTTGGGAGTGGTTAGTTAAGGAAACAGGAAGAAGGAAAGAAGAGGAGACAGCAGCATGGGAGAAATCCCCATGATTAGAGAATGAGAATAAAAGAGCGTTTATTTTGGAGTGACAGAAATTTTTTTTTTATCTTTACATTTTTATTTTATTTTACTAAATATATTTTATTGATTTTTTACAGAGAGGAAGAGAGAGGGATAGAGAGTTAGAAACATCGATGAAAATTATCGATCAGCTGCCCCTTGCACACCCTCTACTTGGGGATATGCACGCAACCAAGGTACATGCCCTTGACTGGAATCGAACCCGGGACCTTTCAGTTCACAGGCCAATGCTCTATCCACTGAGCCAAACCGGTTTCAGCTATCTTTACTTTTTTTTATATAATAAATCTCTATTGTTCAGATTATTACAGGTGTTCCTCTCTTTTTCTCCTTCCATAGCTCCCCTCCACCTGATTCCCTACCCCAGCCCATGCTCTTACCCCCCACCATTGTCTTCATCCATAGGTGTAAGATTTTTGTCCAATTTCTTCCCGCACCCCTCAGGTCCCTTTCCCCCTGAGAATTGTCAGTCCACTCCCTTTCTATGACCCTGATTCTATTACATTCACCAGTCCATTCTGTTCTTCAAATTTTTTATTCACTTGATTTTTAGATTCACTTGTTGGTAGGTATGTATTTGATGTCTTTTTGTTGTTCATAATTTTTACCTTTACCTTTTTCTTCTTCTTCCTCTTCTTAAAGAATACTCTTCGACATTTTTAAAATTAAATTATCTGTGTACATATTTTAACATTGCCCCCCCATACATACCCTCCCTCCCCAGAGTTTTGTGTCCATTGGTTGTACTTATATGTATTTATACAAGTCCTTTGGTTGATCTATTATCTCCCCCAGATCTCCCTACCCTACCTGCTATAATTTGACAGTCTACTTGTTGCTTTACTGTCTCTATATCTATCTTTTGGTTCAGCAGTTTATAATGTTCTTTATTATCCATAAATGAGTGAGGTCATGTGGTGTTTCTCTTTCACTGACTGGCTTATTTCACAAAGCATGATGTTCTCCAATTGCAACCAGGTTGTTGCAAATGATGAGAATTCCTTCTTTTTATGGCAGCATAGTATTCCATTGTATAGATGTACCACAGTTTTTTGATCCAATCATCTGCTGATGGGCACCTAGGCTGTTTCCAAATTCTAGCTATAGTAGATTGTGCTGTTATGAACATATATATATGATTGATGTTTCTGATTGATGTTTCTAGTTTCCTGGGATATATTCCTAGGAGTGGGATTACTGGGTCAAATGGGAGTTCCATTTTCAGTTTTTTGAGGAAACTCCACACTGTTCTCCACAGTGGTTGCACCAGTCTGCATTCCCACCAGCAGTGCACGAGGGTTCCTTTTTCTCCGCAACCACGCCAACACTTAACGTTTGTTGATTTGTTGATGTTGGCCATTCTGACAGGTGTGAGATGGTACCGCATTGTTTTGATTTGCATCTCTCGGATAATTAGTGACTTTGAGCATGTTTTCATGTGCCTTTTGGCCAACCTGTCTTCTTTTGAAAATATTCTATTTAGGTCCATTGCCCATTTTTTAATTGGATCATTCATCTTCCTTTTATTTAGTTCTATAAGCTGTTTGTAGATGTTGGAGATTAAACCTTTATCAGTGGTAACATTTGCAAATATGTTCTCCCACCCCATGGGCTTTCTTGTTGTTTTGTTGATGGTTTCTTTTGCTGTAAAAAAGCTTTTTATTTTGATGTAGTCCCATTTGTTTATTTTCTCTTTAGCTTCCATTGCCCTAGGGGCAGTATCAGGGAAAAAGTTCTTTTGGCATACGTCTGAGATTTTGCTGCCTGTGGATGCTTCTAATATTTTTATGGTTTCCCGTCTGATGTTTAAGTCCTGTATCCATTTTGAGTTTATTTTTGTGTATGGTGTAAGTTGGTGATCTAGTTTCATTCTTTTGCATATATCTGTCCAATTTTCCCAACACCATTTATTGAAGAGACTGTCTTGACTCCATTGTATATTCATGCCTCCTTTGTCAAATATTGAGCATAGTGATTTGGGTTGATATCTGGGTTCTCGATTCGATTCCATTGATCTATATGTCTGTTCTTGTGCCAGTACCAGGCTGTTTTGAGAACAGTGGCTTTGTAATACAGCTTGACGTCTGGTATTGAGACCCCTCCTACTTTACTCTTCTTTCTCAGGATTGCTGTGGCTAATCGGGGTGTTTTATTGTTCCAAATGAACTTTTGGAGAGTTCTTTCTAGATCAGTGAAATATGCCATTGGTATTTTAATGGGGAGTGCATTGAACCTACAGATTGCTTTAGGAAGTATGGACATTTTGATGATGTTGATTCTACCAATCCATGAACATGGTATGTTCTTCCATCTGTTTACATCTTCCTCTATCTTTTTTTTCAGTGTCGTGTAGTTTTCCGCAAATAGGTCCTTTACCTCCTAAGTTAAGTTTGTTCCTAGGTATCTTAATTTTTTTGGTGCAATGGTAAATGGAATTGCTTTTTTAGTCTCTGTTTCTGTAAGTTCACTGTTGGTGTATAGAAATGCCATAGATTTCTTGGCGTTAATTTGTATCCTGCTACATTGCCAAATTCATTTATTAAGTCAATTCATTTTTTAATGGAATCTTTTGGGTTTTTTATGTATAATATCATGTCATCTGCAAATAAGGATAACTTTACTTCTTCTTTTCCAATTTGGATGCCTTTTATTTCCTCTTCTTGTCTAATTGCAATGGCTAGTACTTCCAGTACTATGTCAAACAGGAGTGGTGAGAGTGGGCATCCCTGTCTTGTTCCTGTTCTTAAAGGGAATGGTTTTAGTTTTTACCCATTGAGTATGTTTGCTGTGGGTTTATCATATATAGCTTTTATTATGTTGAGGTATGATCCTTGTACTCCCACCTTGTTGAGAGTTTTTATCAGGAAAGGGTGTTGGATTTTATCAAATGCTTTTTCTGCATCAATCGATATGACTATATGATTTTTATCTTTCAATTTGTTTATGTGATGTATCACGTTTATTGATTTGCGAAGGTTGAAGGTTGTACCATCCTTGCATTCCTGAAATAAATCCTACTTGGTCATGGTGTATGATCTTTTTGATGTGCTACTGGAGCCGATTTGCTAGAATTTTGTTGAGGATTTTGGCATCTACGTTCATGAGGGATATTGGCCTGTAATTCTCTTTC